GGAGATACTAAATTGAAGAAGACTAGATTAAGAGAATGCAAGTAGATGTGCATTTGTAATTATACATACACAAACACACACACATACACTTATCCTTTTTATTATTTTCTTTTTTAATCTGAAAAGTGGGAAAGATTCTCAAAGGTATAAATATTAATTTCAAAACCTTTCAGATTCTATAGGTCCATGAGATCTAGACTGGAAATAAATAGGGGAAGGGTAAAGAGCTGAAAGGTAGTTATGTTCTTTCTTTTATTTATTTGTTAAATGTATATGCCGCTCATCTCCCCCAGAGGGTGACTCTGGGTGGCTCACAATTAAAATCAAACATTAAAGACAGTAAAAATATAAAAATCCATATTAAATTATTTTAGCTAAAAAAATAATAGAATATAATTGTGTATGTGTGTGTGTATGTATGTATATGTATGTGTGTGTGTGTGTGTGTGTGTGTATATATAAATAAAAACTATCCTTTCTTTTATTCTGCCTCATCCAAACCTAGAGGAATAGTCATTAGCTATTCCTTTGATAACATCTGTAACATCCAAACTTTTACAAAATTCAAGAGTACTGCTAATTGTATAATGTTGTTTGCTGTGTTTCCTTGTAAAAGAATAAATCTTGGAGCTGTATTAATAATTTCATTTGATTTTTTCTAACTACAACTATTTGTTTGTTGCAGGAATTAAAAGGAGGGAAGGCTTATGCAAAGGTAAAAGGATAATATCATGTAATACAATGCCTCTTTTTGTCTCCTTTTCCATATCTGTGTGTAGCATTAGTTTAGTGATATATTGTAATGTATGCTTCTTATTGTTATGAATGATACCGAGCATTATAAACATTAGTTATGTAGCACAAAGATGATGATAATATACAATAGACAGGCATGCTAAGAAGCCTAAATTTGTTTATTTCTTTTTTTGTTCTGTAACTACTAACTTCATTCTTTTGTCAATAGTTGGGTTTTGCAGACCTCAACCTGGCAGAGTTTGCTGGATCAGGAAATACCACTCGCCGTTGCTTACTGGAAGGTTATGATACCAAAAACACAAGGCAGGACAATTCAATTCTCAAAGTAATTGTATGGGTTTTTTTTTTCTATTCCGCCTTGTTTTTTAGAAGATGCTTTTCACTAAATGTTGAATAGGAAAACAAAGCACGGTAACCATTTATTATTTCATACTTCTCTTCCTCTTCCCCCCCCCGCTCATGATCACAGCACAGTAAATAAGACCTAAAGGAATTAGGCTGTTTTAATGAGATACCTGATGAAAAATTGGTAATGATTGCTTGTGCATGCTAGCAAAAATCCATCAGAGGAAAGTTATTAACTTATTAAGGGTACTTTAGGGATATTGTATAAATAGCACCCTAGTTTGCTTGAATATAATTTTTTGTTTTGTCATCAGTTTTATCTGGTAATTTAATGAACACAGAAGGAGGGAAATCCTTGATGAAGTCAGATTGTTGTCCAGTTATGCAATTTGCTTTTTTTATCTGAGATGGCTTTTATAATACAATCTTTGTTAATGAAGAAGTTGTTTTTGAAATCCGTATTCAGTTAGGCTCTTGTTACTGATTTTCATAAGCAGTTTTAATCTATATGCTTTAACTATAATTCCATTCATTCTTGTAATAGCCCCATTTGATAGTCCATTTGATAGAATATAATTAATTTTTCCTTTTCATATCTTTACGAATTGCAGTTTGATTACATTTTTTTCATTTCATTCTTATTGATTTATAGATCTTAATCAGCATGCAGCTAATGTCTGGAGACCCATGCTTTAAAACGTAAGTTTAAATTTATATATGCATTCTTCTTAGCATTTGTCCCACTTGGTTGCAAAGTCTGCTTATTGTGCATTGCTTTTGCTACAGTTCTTGTATTGACACTATCAACGCATGATGCAATGAGAAGTTTTACTTTCCAGCTGGCTGGTTGCTGAGTTGATGCTGATTAGGGTTGAGAGGGAATGACTGGCCAGGATCGTCCAACTTCCTTCTGTGCCTAAGGCAGGAATAGAATCTGGGTCTCCCTCCTTCTAAGCCCTAAGCCAGCTCCTTAATCTCTACACCATACTAGTTTTCAATATTTATACATGTGTGTGCATGCATGTGCATGTATATGCATCTTGCTACTTATCTATAATGTTAAAGAATATCATATATTAGCTGTAATAACCCAATTCCATATTCTATCCTATGTGAGGAGAGGGCATGCTGTGCAATTGCAGGGATCTTTATTTGCACTGTCTGTTGTCATTCTGTTAAAACTGGATTCTGCTTAAAGCCAGATTTTCAGTCACCCAAGGCAAATAGATTATTGCCTTCCTTTTTTTCATATTCTTCCTTATCTCTGGGCATTATGTATACTACAGGGTAAGTGGATGAACTAAGTATATATGCAAATGAAATGGAAATGAAACCAAATTTATTTTTTTGTTTCTGCTCTATTACTTTTTGGAGTGCATCCTCAACTACAGTTAACCTCTCAAAAGCAAAGTGCAGCCCTTGATCTGGGAAAAATTGTGTACTCTTTATTTACTATCTGGGTCTCTACATGATAGGGCAAAGAGATATTTATGTATCACTGGTTTGTTTGATGATTTTTTATGTATACCCAGTGTATCAGGTCTGTATAAAAGAATAATTTGGTGCTAGAATTGTAAATGTTTGTCTTAGATTGTGTGAGCCCAATCCAAAGGGGCCAAGTCTCTCTGGCCCTTCAGTTCCTATCTTCCGCACTGATGGGCACACTAAAATATAGGTCTGTGCTGCTACTCAGAAGGTCTCAAAAACTATGACAATTGGTTCATGTTAGTCTGTATAAATTGCATGTGAGCTTTTATCATATAGACAGTATCCTTGTGTAAAGTTAATGAGCAGTGGAACTTGCAACAAAATCTTGAGGGGCCCTGTCCTCTTGTTCACAGCCTTGTATTTATTTTCTAGGGTTCTGTATTTTAATTTTATTAACAATAACATACTAAATTAGTAATATAGATTTGTACCTTGCGTTGACCTACTGTATGTTGGGTATTAAAAAGGTCTGATCTACAAGAACCATAAGACAGCTTTGGGTCTGTGCTATTCCAGAGAGCTGTATATATGCGTTGTACAAGAAAAAAAAAATACGGTTGGGATGAATTTCTAGATTTATGAGGTCTTTTGCGATGAGTCATGTAGCTCAGTGAGTGATCTAATTGTAGCAATGCAGCTGGGAGGTTTTCTTTTCCATCAGCCATGCTGTAATTTACTTGTAGGCAGTGCAAAAAAAAACGTACAGTATTCTAAGACAGCATACGTTCTTAAGCAATTATTTTTGTGTCATTAACTTGTGAGTTAATTATTTTAAACTGCATAGATTTAAATAACAGCGTAAGATCCAAATAAGGATGGTATGAGCACCTAAGGTAAATTATACAAGTTTATTAGTCTTTAAAATGCCATAATAGCATTTTTTCCTTCTTGCCCAGAGTCTCAGTAAGTAACTACAGTAGTCAGGTTTGTATGGTTCTGTATTTAATTTGAGTCAAATTTATTGGTACATCTGTAAATGTCATTTGTATCGTGTGCTGCTTCTATTTCCTTCTGAAAAATTATTTTGGAGCCCTTCAGATTATTTAGAAATAGAATTTATTATTTTGATGTATCATTTAGATATAGTATATTGAACTGAACTGTTATTTTCCAGCAGGGTAGAACATCTTCGTTTCATCATAATATTTAAAACAAAAACTCAAGTTTGCATTAGATACCTTATTTACAGTACATTAGATTTTGGAATTTCATGGATAACCTTATTAACATAGCTCCAATTTTTTTCAGTGGAGCTGGATTTGGACCTAGCATACAAGAAGGGTTGGAGAGTAGAAATTTCAGCTTTGTCTAGCAGTTGTATGCCAGGGAGATTTGTATTTTTCAAGATGACTATGCAAAAAAAATCCTTGCCTGTCAAATAATTGTAGAAAATTGAGGCAAGCTTGCTGTAGATAGTATTTCAACCAATCACAAATCACCAATCGCATGCTGAATTTGAAGTTCTGCTGGTTTTTAAACAATATATCTTCCTTCAGGCTTGTGTAAATAATATATGAAACAAATAATGGACTGTAAATAATACACTAATTATTATATAATTTACTAGTATTTTCACTGGTGATCCAATTATATTATGTCATATACAATAGACAGTTTTCATTTTTAACTAGTAGATAACAGAGAAAAGGATACAGCAAGGTCAGTAAACTGAAGAATGCACCTTTCTGCATTCTATCCACAAGGAAGAAATATGAAACAGCTGTTACAAGTCAATGAGCTTGTACAACCAGTTCTCATGAAAACAGTTCATATGCATTGCTTTTATCCCTATCTCATGCAACTCTTTAATGCAGTGGGTGATCATTCTGTGGTTAAGAAGGTGATCTGAATGCAGTGTAGCCACTATTTTCATTTAGCACTAACTGGAATTTTAAACCAGTGAATAATCATGGAATAATCAGTGCTACCTAGAAAGGTGACCACTGTGTATGAATGACATATTTATATAGAGGAGCAGTATGGAGCTGGGAGAAGAGATGGTGTGCTCATTCATGTTAACAGCTAGCAACAGTTTAATGCGTTATGCAGATTCACTCACTAAGGACTACTTGGTGGAGTGCTGCTTTCCCAAAGCACAAATAAAATGGACATCCTGATTTATATTTTAAAAATGGACTATATTTCTGTGTTTCTGGCACTGGAAAGGTGAAATTGGAATAGACATTTTGAATTTATTGTTTGCAAGACATTATTATTATATTATTATTATTCTTTGTAGTAGTGATAGAATGCATACATGTTTTCCCTTGTAATGGCTGAAGGTGGTAAGGCAGCAACCAGCAGCTCTCAGACTACAAAGGACTATTACATAAACAAATCTCAGCTACCCAAGATCGTCAATCAATCACCAAGTATCCATTAATTTTAAAGGCAGGAGGAAAAAGCCAGTTTAACTCTGGAGCATAGATATATAAAGCTCTAAATACTTTGCTCTAGAATGGGCAATCAACTGTTAAGTTTTCATTCTTGTTTACAGTATCATCTAGCTGACTTTTCTGTTGAGTCAAGCCAAGCACTGAGTAAGAGGTTAAATGTCTGGAGAGCTGAAAATTACTGCTGAACCATGGCATAAAGCCTGTCACCCTTAGGTGTCTGTGTGTGTGTGTGTGTGTGTGTGTGTGTACATACGCAAACACACACACAACCACCTTCAATCTCAAACTTCTTTGATCACAGACCTCCATCCACAGCAATGTCTGTATCAATTGCTGGAGAATCAGAATCCCTGCATGAAGACAGGAAAGGTGCAGAGAACACTAAAGTGTCACATTTGACTGTATCAGGTAGGAAACTGTGGAAGGCTGTCAGCCTTAGGAAAATGAATAATTGTTCAATTACTCATTATTAGGATGATGGATTGTACTTCAGCATAGTTCTCTTTTTAATAATTGAGTTTCTCTATGACAAATTAACAAATCATGTGTATCTAAGAAACACGCATGAGGGATGATATGCCCATTTAAATAAAATATTGCATGTAGGTATCTGGAATAAGCAACAATGATATCATATACATCATGACATCAATGTGCAAATCACACAGCATTTATGATGTCATGGTGTGTGATATCACTAGCCCATCCTTGCCCCGTTTCATATATCTATGGTATTGCATTGTATATGACAACAGGAAGGGGAAGAGAATTTTAGGATTTTCTGCTTTGTGAAAAATTATTGTCTAAAGAAAGCTAGGATATTATTTGGAGGGATGCCTTCTCCTTGCATTATCAGTTCTTTACTTACAGGTTGTTTTAAATATGGAGAAACATTCAAACATGTAGTGTTCCACTACATTTCGAATTTGTTTAAATTTCGAACAATTTTTGTTATGTGCTCTTCTGGAATATGTAGCTTATTTTTTAGTTACCAGCATTAGACTCAAGGGTTGGGATGGCTTTCAAAAAGGAACACAGAGGTACATAGGTGACCAACATCATTTACTAATATCCACTCTTAGTGGATTACAAGTTACAATTGCCTTAGTCCTCTATAGTGATAACAGATGTGATGGATATTTTTTCAATATACATTTTTAAATGATCAAAGCTAGAATGAAGAGAGAATAGAGGATTTTTAATGCAGGAACCATGACCCATTGTAATAAGACAGATAATTATTAGAGAAGTAAATAAGTTAACATAGTTACCTACAAATATTTCCTAATTTTATCTGCATACTAATTCCTTATATACAATGCCAAGGTATAATGTCATGGATCAGTACAACAAACTACTTAAGAAAGCATTAATTTTAATCAGGTCTGTATTACAATAGCAATTACCTGAGGAAATAATCCAGCAGCAATGCTTTTTGATCTGACTTTTTTTTTCAACAGATTTTACAAACAAAAGCATCTCAGCCCCAGATGAACTTGGAGCATGTGGACATTCTAGGACTTCTAGTTATGCAAGCCAGCAGTCAAAAGTGTCAGGTAAGAGTATTATTGTTCGAAATAAATACTTTGAAAAAAAATAATGATATAAATTTCTTGGTTTTTAAAAAAAGCTTTTATGGATTCACAAACTCAGCTATTCAGAAAAAAAAATTCAAATATCTTGGCTTATGCAAAGCTCTTATATTTAAATAGAAAATTCCTTCACTAAGTGAACAGAGAATTCATTTTAAGAAATTTTATGAAATTATGAAACTTGTAAGGGTTATTAGCACTTTCTTACTGGCCCAGTTCCAATGCATTTAAAAGCAGCCTAAAAGTGAGCACCAGTGATACTTTTTACCCCATCTTCGTGCTACTAAAAACTTTATGTACTACATTTCAGTATATTAGGTAGCTGTTTTAAGATGCACAAGCATTTAAAAGAAATTATATTGGTTAATGAAGCCAACACTGTTAGGAAGTTTGGAATATGTATCAGGTCATTATCAGCTGAGAATGCTTAGCACGTAGAAGAACTCGATGAGGAACTACACAATATGCAAAGGAGTATTCAAACTAAAGACAGGGTAGCCTCGTTAGGGTGAATTAGCTCAAACATGTTAGTGTAAGGGTAACAAAAGTCCCTTGGTTTTAGAAACTAATTCTGGCTGCCTTAGCCATTGTGAGAATATGGCAGAAGAACCCCTCAGCAGTTAACCTCCTTCACCATCCTACTAGCTCTAAGAAATCCCCCCTTCCTACCTGTCTGTTGATGGAAGAAAAGATTTCTCATAGCCACTGCCTTATTTTACTATAACTCTGTCTTAATCCTATCTTATCTGAAATTTACCTAGCAGGATCTTTGTGGTAATAATTTTTTTTCAAGACCAACTGAAAAGATTAGTTGATTCAGATTTGTATACACATTGCAATAAGGTTGTATTGGGTCTTGTTGAGATACATACTATATGACAAAGTGGGAGGAGAAGTGTTAGCTCTTCTGTATTAGTTTATTTTGTAACATCCTTCTGCTGATTGCTTCATTTGGGCAGTTGTGTTTTGATTTCTCAGTGAACACTAGTTTTGGCACCAGAAAAAATTGTTGAGTTCTCATGGGTCAGGGATCCATGAAGCTGGTTTGTATGCTAGCTTTCGGAGAATGATATGCAACAAAGAAGTACAGTGATGGGAAATGTACAGGCTAGCATGAAGAAAAACATGTGAGCCATATGACTGTTGTTCTTTCTGGGTCATGGGTGTCAGGTTCCCACTGAGACAAGGATAAACACAACTAGAAACTCTACCTTTATTGTTTTACAGGAAACAGTAGTCATAACCGTTGACAGTTTCCAGGCAAGCAGGAATTCTTTTTCAGCATTTATACCTAGTCAGCTTTCAGATTTTTCATGACCTCTTCCTGCACTGTCCACTTTAAAAACTTCCTTTTACCTTTAGCTCTCATAGTGTCCATTGATGATGGATTGCTTGTTTAGGTTCTCTGCATCCCTGCATTCAAATAAGGCCAAATTAGGTTGGGATTTTTTAGCCACTACTTTAGCCCTGACACTGAAGAACTTGCCAGGAATCCCTTGAACTAAAAGGTGCTGCTCGTCAGTACCAGACTGGTTAAAAATAAGAACATGCCCAACAAGGACTTATCTTATATGGGCAAAATTCTCTGATGTGTATTAGCAAAATATGGTAGAATGAAACAGATGTAGAAAATCACTCTCAATTTTGTTGGTAGCTTTTTCATTTTAATTTTAGGGGGGGGGGCTTCAAGTCAAAGCTCCTGCTTGATTTAGCAGATCATTTTTAAAGAAGTAAATTATCAGCAGCTCTAACACATCTGATCTTCTCAGTACTTTCCTTCCCCTCTTCATCACCAATGTTCTCTCTCTTTTTTTTTTTTTGGTGCCTTCAAATCAGTGTTGATTCCTGGCCACTGCCTCAACTAGTCCCTGCAGTTTTCTTGGCAAGGTTTTTCTGAAGTGGTTTGCCATTACCTTCTTCCTAGGCCTGAGAGACAGTGTCTGGCCCAAGGTCATCCAGCTGGTTACATGCCTTCATGCAGGACTAGAACTCAGAGTCTCCTGGTTTCTAGATTGGTGCCTTAACCACTATACCAAACTGGCTCTCTTTTTAAATCTAGCAACAGCCAAGTCTCTAGGAGTCAGGAGTCTTGTATTTTATCATGAGTTTATCCTCCTGTTCAGATGCCCTATTCAGCAGGCACCAGCTTTTGTAATTCTGTGGTAGAAATTGAATGTGTAGCATTCATCCTGCTGCCTTCCTTTTTGAGTGATTGGGGTGATTTCTGATATGGCTTGGTGACCCAATTTTACTTAAGGAGTTTAATATTTACATTCAAACCTCAGAGAAGGCACAAATCAAGATTTCATGGCCAACATGGCAATTATGGACATGTCTCAGATATACTCTGTGAAGTTAGATTCATTTAGACTTGATTTTTATTGCTAGATGAATGGCAAGCATGTGGTGAAAATCAGTCCCTTATCATGGAAGACTCACTGCTTAGCTATGGATCCAGATGGATTTCTGATGATTCTAGATTTTTCTGCTCTGCATAGCTGGTAGTCCAGCTGAAGCCTTAATGGATCTTCAGAAGGTTTTAAATTATTATTTCAGAAAGTAATAATTATTTGAGAAGGTGCAACTTTAATGAAGACTTCAGCACTGTGTGACTTGATATTAATTTAAACTTCTTTGATGCTGTTCCCGCTTTTTTATGTACAAGTCCTTACTAGGTGCTGATAATCAAATAAATCACAAATAGTTATATTATACTTGACATTAGAAAAATGGCATATTCTGGTTAGAAGAAAAATTTGGAATTTTTGACATGGCATCAGACTAATGGCTCTGAATTAATAATTATATCTTCTAGGATACAGCACTGCTCATTCCAGATCATCCAGTTTCTCTGATCTCTGTCATAAAAGAAATACCTCTGCAGGAAGTACATCAACTGGTATAAGTAGTATTCTAGAGCCATGTGAAGAGAAAGAATCCAAAAGTATTGAGGATAATTTGGAAGCAACCATGAAAGATGCAGTCTCAGAAAATTCAAACAGGTAAACTACTACAGAGAGTTTAATAATGTGGTATTTGATGATGATTGTTTATAGAGCATAACTTTTCTAGGTATTTCATATTTTTCATAGGCAACCAGTAAAACAGGATTCTGTGGAATCACAGCTAAAGAGGGTGGATGCCACAAGAGTTGATGCAGATGATATTGTTGAAAAAATACTGCAGACTCAAGACTTCAGTTTGGACTCAAGTGCAGAAGGTTTGTAAAGCTGGAAAGAGTAGAAGCTTGATAATAAATTGTTGAGGAATAGTTCCAATTCATGGCTGGGACTCCTAGGTTATACAGAGGAAAATCATTAATTACATACTAATTGTTAAAGATACTAAAAATAGCACCTATTGAAGAAACATAGCAGCAGCCACAGAAGGGCAGAGTATGAAAGCAGCATCACACCAGTGCTCCACCCCTTTTGTATGGTCATGATGTATGCATGTACACAGGGGCTGACCTTGCAGCACAATGCTGCTTTTGTCACTTTGATGAAAGCACTAGATCCTCTGACACTCTGAAGAAACATAGTTGTTCAGATTGGAAATGTATTTGTAGAATTAGTACTCCTGACAACTGTAGTACCATATATAATCAGAGAACCTAGATATATTAATTCAAAATAGGGGGACCTGCAGTTTCTACAGATTCCTCTTTGTTTGGAACTTCTCCCATCATATCCTACTCTGCTCTCAAAGGTTCCTAGCCATGCTTACAGCAGGAAGAAAGAGGCAAGAAACATTCATTGTATCGTAGGTCTTCCACAAACAGGCTTGTCAAACATACTAATACTGCATATTTTTATATTTATTTTTGCAGAGGAAGGACTGAGACTTTTTGTAGGTCCTGGAGGGAGCACTGCTTTTGGAAGTCATCACTTACCTAATAGGTATGTCATTAATGCAATGCATCCTCTTATCTGTGACATAATAGGCAGTGAAAACCACATCTAAACCCCTTAAATTGTTCCTGTAAAGCGTCTAAAGTTTTGTTTGAATATAATATGCAAAACAACAGTCTCTGCGTTACAATCTAGTATTGAAAATACAGAAAAAGATAGGGGAACATGGAACAAACAGGAAAACAAGAAAATTCCGTATAAAAAGAAAGAATGGAATGAGAATGTTCAATGAAAAAAGCACAATTTGACAAACTTGCAAGTACAGCAAAGGGCAGACTTTCTCCATTCTTTGGATGCATTTATTTATTGAAAATGTTTATGTTGCGGCATCAGTTTTACTTCTAAATTCGTGGCTGTATAACAGAACCCCCTAATTCTTTAACATTCTGGCTTCTCATGAAAAACAAGAGTTAACATAAAAACATACTCGCAGCGCGGACAGTTCTGAATGCCCCTAGGAGGGCACATATAACACCGCTGTTACGCGAGCTGCATTGG